TGAATTTTCTTTTTTTACTTTTGTTTCGTATAGTTAAAGTAGTTGTATCTTTGCTTTGTATCTTGTATGGGTAGTTTCTCTGCCCAGAGTGGGCTTTTTTATTTAGGTTTTCTTCTATTGTATTCACTATTTTTTATATTTTTTGTTTTTTGCCTCTGCTGATTTTTATGTTTTAAGATTATAAATATCTATCTATAATATTTTATATTTATATATGCATTATCTTAAAAACATATTAATTAATATAAGATGTTTTAAGTAAAAATAGTTTACATTTTTAAAAACTTTTTTCAAACTTTAATACTAGTTTAAAAACTAATTCTAATATAAAAAAATAGTAAAAATTTTTACAACTAAGTTTATAAAAACTAAACATATAATAAATACAAAACATTATAAATATATTTTATAATAATTGATTATTTAATCTTTTTTTTTTTAACTATCTCAGATGATATCATCATAGGGCATATGTAGTGCTCTTTTATTAATTATGACTACTAGATTATTATTTACATATTAAAAGATTTACTAAGCTATATATTTGTAGATTTTTCTATAAATAGAGTTAACAAAGTTTTTGTTATATAGTAGACTGATCTCTTTAGAGATTCTGTTTTTGCTATAGCTAAATTTGCTGATTCTGAATATTGAATATTTTTCTATTTAAAAGCAGTATAACAATACCAGATTTTATATATAGTGTATATATGTAACTATAATATGGTTGTATATGTTTTTGTTTTTTCTGTAATGTTCTTTAAAAATATTTTTCCTAATGAGTCTAGTATGAATTCAGTTTGGCCTGTTTTTAGAAATTTGTATGCTTTTAACCAGATTGTTTTACTAATTTTGTATTCTGTTACAAAGTGTTTGATAGTTTGTATATTTTTTAGACACCAAGAATATTTATTTGATTCTGTTGCTACAAAGTAATGAAGTCTATATTCTAGTGGTAAGGCTCTGTGAAAGAGTCACCAGAAGATGTCTTTTTTTCTGTTAAATATTGCTTTTTGAAGAATCCAGTTGTTGTTTTGAGTTTGCTCTATAGAGTCTGATTGGTTTGTAATCTTGAAATTAAGTTTTCTTAAAAGTTCTATCATAAGTTTGACTGTTATTTTTGGTCCTTTTTTCTTATCTATTTCTAGTTCTGAAAGATTCCAGAACCAGTTAAATTTTATAAGAATCTCTCTTTTAGCTTTTTTCTATGCTAAGAGGTAGAGTTTTTATTTTGTAAGCTATGCTTTAGTTCTAATTAGTTGTGTAGAAAGCACTTCTATAGCTGAAATATTTCTTTTTTTGATCAAGTACAAGAAAGATTCTTTTTCTTTCTATTTTTGCTTACAAAAGATTACTTGAGATTAGTTTTATTTAAACTAAGATTAGTCTAGCTTCTAGCATATTGCTAACTATTGGTGCTTGTAAGCCTTCTTATTCATATAATTGTTGAAAAGTAGAGTACCTTAGAAGCATTTTGAAGTTGTTTTTGATCTAGTAAATAATAAGCTTGTTGATTTCTGCTATTTTCATCTTGTTTGATGCTATTAGGTAAGCAACTTACCAGATCTTTGAGAGAAGCAGTAAGTTTGCCAACATAATTTTTTTTTTTAAGAATAGATTTTTATAAGTGAGCTTTTCTAGGTTTAGTTTAAGCAATAATGCTATATTCGAAAACCATAACATAGTCTTGTTTTTCTAGTTTTTTAAATGGAGTTTCTTTTGAGAGAATTTTTTCTCTTGCTATGTTTGTAAGTAGTATTAAATTAGTTTTAAGCTTGTTGATTTTTGCATTAGAAGCTTTTTCATAGTTATCAAATAGACCTAATATTGTTGTCCAATTAAAGTGAGAGCTAATGCCTATTGTTAGATTATTTGCATAAGCAGCACATTTGAAAGATTGGTTGTTAACTTTAATTTCTGTTATGTTTTTGTCTATCATGTTTAGCAGTAGTTCAAATGCTAACATATATAGAAGATGTAAGAGTAGGTCTTCTTGTTTGACTCCTCTTTCTACTCTAAAGAAGTTTAAAATATATTTTGAATCTAAGATGTATGCTTTTTGTCAAGAGAATAAATTCTTTATAGGTTTTTGAATTCTTTATTAAAGCTTATATTTTCTAGTACCAGTTGGAGAAACTTATAATTTATTTTGTTATAAGTCTTTTGCTAATCTACAAATAGATTTAGTGCTCTTTTGTGTTATCTTTTTGGTTTTTTAAAATTGTAAGAATGTTCAATGCAGAGTCTGTAATTAATCTGTTTATAATGAAGCCTTGCTGATATTAAGGTACAATTGCTTTACAAATTATGTTTAGTTTATTGGTGATAATCTTCATAAAAATTTTAGCATCGCAGTTGATTAGTAATATAGGTTTCCAGTTGTTTATATTGTGTAGCTTCTTTGACTTCTTTGGTATTAGTATGACTAAATTTTTGCACTATAAGGAAGGCATTATTCTTAAGATTAATACTTAGTTAAAGATTTGTTCTAGAATAGGTGTAATATGTTCTTTTGTAAGTTTATAGAATTCATATATGAGGCCATTCAGTCTTAAAGACTTGTTATTTGATAGTTTTTTGAATAGTTGTTAAGATTTTTCTTTTAGAAATAGGGTTTGTTAGTTTTTTGTTCATTTGTGTAGAAACTTGTAAGAGATCTTTAGTAATTTGTTTTGCTATTTTATTGTCAATTTCTTCTTTGCTATATATTGTAAAGTATTGTTCTTTAATATAATTAAGTACTTCTTTTTTATTAGATTGTTTCTGAGTTAAAGAAATTTGTATTTTTGTAAGAGCTGAACATGAGCTTCAACTTTTAAGATGTGAATAAAAGTATTTAATTGATTTTTCTTCTAGTTTTATTTAGTTTGTTTTAGATCAATGTTGCCATCTTTGTGTCAGTTTAGTTAGTTCTGATTGGACTTATGAGTTAAGACTGTTTAGTGTAACAAAGAGGTGTGTCTGGCTGGGAGTTTTGGTTATGAATTTTTTTAATTGGTTAATTTTCTTGTTGAATTTTTCTATTTTGTCCTCTGAGGCTTTTGGTTTTTTAAAGACCTTTATAATTATTTAATGTAGATTTTATGCATGTCCCAGCTTATTGCAAAAGATGCATCTTTAATTTCATTCAAGATCTTTTTTTTAGAACATTATTTTTAAAAGAATTTGGTTCAAATCTTTAAAGTGTTGAATGCTTAGGTTTTTATTCTAGGCTTAGAATGCATTTAACTAAAAAGTGATCAGAGTTTTCAAATCTTGTTTTAGTTTTGGATTTGAGGTAACTGTAGTTTTCATCTATAAAATATAGTCTAGCCAAGTGGCTATTATTTAGTTGTTATATATATTTTAATAAAATATATAAAAGGAGTTTCATTTAGAAAAAAAGACTGAGTTGATAAATTCTTTTGTAATTTTATTAACTAGTATCTTTAAAGTGTCATTTTAAGGGATTGCTTAACTTATTCTATTAATATCTGGATTCAGGTTGGTGTTTAGATCCTCTGTGATAATGTTGATTATGTTCTCTTTCTTGTTTATATTCTAATTGTTGAAGAATTCAATTCTGTTTAAAATGTTTGGTGGTGCATAAACATTTATCATATAAAAAAAGAATTTCTTAAATGTAAAACATGTTGAGATTATTCTATCTTCTTGTAAATTCTTGGTGTCTTTAAATTTTATAATTTTGTTTCCTGCTAAGATTGCTATTTTGCCTATCCAAATTGAGTTAAAAGGCTATTAGTTTTTTAAAAATTGTTGAATAACAGTATTAAAAGTGTTTGTTTTTTGTAAAAGAGTGATGTCTAGTCTATAAGATTTTAAAAGTATTAATGTTTTAGTCCATTTGTCTAAATTGTTTAAGTCTTTAAAATTTAATGTAGCAATTTTGATTGAGTGACAGCTTATTATAAATAAATTATTTAGTTTTAGAGCTTCTATGGTCTTTTTGTTTTGGATCATTCTGGTAATTTTCTTTGTTGGTTATTTTATAAGGTTTTGAGTCTTTATATTTTTTTTTATATACAACTAACATAAAGGTTGGATTATCTGCTTTTTTTTGTTTATTTGATTAAGCATTTTCCAAATCTATATTATTAATTACTGGTTCTTGTATTGTATTAAGGTTATTTTCGATAGGAATTTCTGTACAAACAGTATTTTTTTTGTTATTCATGTTATAATCTGATATAATTTCTTCTGTTTCTTGTTCTTGTAAGCATGTTTCATTCATGTTTATATCTTGGGTTTCTTCTTGCATTAAAAGGTTTTCTACTTCTTTCACATATGGGTTATCTTTTGTTATATTTTTGATAGGCATTCTGTTTTGTGTACTTTTTCTTTTGAATTCTTAATAGTGCAGTCTTAGGTTTTTTGCTTCTTAAAACTAAGTATACTCTTTTTTAATATATCCTGTTTGGTCACAAAAATAATAGACATTTAGTGCCTCTTTCTACTTAGTAGTCACTCTATTATTATCTATATATGTGAATCAAGAGGTTCTTTGTTCTAATTTTGAGTTTTCAGTATTATTAAAGATAATGATCTATTGGTCTGTCATATAAGGAGTGTCTTCAATAAGTAGAAGTTTAATTGAAACAATTTTCACAAAATTTTCAAAGACTTCTTTCATCAAGCTGAAGATGTGTTTCTTGGTTCCTAATGATATGTTTTTTACTTTAATTAGTAGGAAGGATTTATATACATCTGTTGAAATATAGCTATAATATGTTTTATTAAAAATTTTAATACCATTAGTGACATAGTATATTAATCAATTATAATTTAAAAAGACAATTTTCAAATAAGATTTTAAGTCTTTTTAAAGTATTGTTTGGTTGCAATGATATCTTCTTCCAGACCTTTATATAAAGAGGCCATAATTTTATTAAGAGAATTATGAAAATCTAAAATTTTAATAATTAGTATATTATTGTTTTTTAACTTAATTTAGTTTCTAGGAAAAAAAGCTACAAAGATTGATTTTTTCTTTTTTAATTTTGCTGACATGTTTGTATTCTGTTTGGCAGCTGACATATAGCTTAAAGTAGGTCTGTGTCTGTGCTGTTTCTTTGTAGTATGATTTGTCTTTAGTAGTTGGCATATAATTGATTTTGTTGTTGTTTATATTTTTATCATTTGTTTTGTTTCTGTGATTTAATATGTTTTCTAAAGCTTGGAAGTTGTTGTTTTTTTGAATAATATTTTCTAACTAGTCTTTCTTGTTTTGAATTACTACTACTGGTACTAGTTTTCTACTTGCTACTTTAGTTTCTTCTTATATTGCAAGAATATACTCAAAAGAAATGCTGTCAGTCTTTTCTGCCTAAAGGTTATTGTCTTCTTTTCTTTTGATATCAAGTTTTTGCATTTTATAAATTTTTTTTGTCAATAAAGATTCAACTCTTAGAAAGAGTTTTCTTTTCTTTGGTATAAGGGCTCTGGCTCTTGAAGTAGACTTTTTTGTTAAGTTTTGTTTTGTGTTTAGCAACTTTATAATTGTTGTTTTTTTATTTTCCTTTCCTAATCAAAGATGAACAGAAAAGAGTTTTTATTATTTAATAGTTAAATAGAACTTTAGTATAACTTTTATAATATATTTTTAAAATTGTTATTTTTATCTTATATTTTTGCTAATGCCACCTTTTTAAATACATAACAGTAATTTGAAAAAAATATAATTATTAAATAAATCTCTTTGTTGATATGAATTAAAGTTGTTTATTTACTAATCCTTTATTTCAAAAATGGACAAGACAAAAATAGTAGTAGCAAGCAAGAACTAACTTAGAAAACCTGTTCTGACAACTTAAAAAAAAAGAATATAGACCAAGAACAACATTAAGTTTGATAAAAGCTCTTCTTTCTTTGAGTTAAGCACAAAGTACAAAAGAACAATTTAGTTTTTTTCTTAAAACTTTTCTTAAAATTTGGGAAATTAGCAAAGTCCCAGGGGGGTGTGGTGACCTAGTGAAGTGGTCAGGTTGTCAACCCTCCAAGTGGTAGGTTGGATATTCAAATCCCATCGATAGTGAAAATTTGGATAATCACCTATGTAATATTTGTATTATGGCAACTGTTACTAATGATTGGGTTAGGATATCTGTAATGGCAGTCACACCAGCATGACTGGTAGGTCATGGGACATTCATATAACACATGACATTGTTCTTTGGGACAAGGTTGTGGTTACACGAAGAAATGCAAACCAGCAATAGGCGGTGCAAACACTAGATAAGTCTTTGTGGCCATGTAAATCTGTTGAAATTGGGTAACAAGAAGTCTATTTGGAAAGACTCAAGTAGAGAGGTAGTCAAATCTTTGATGGCTCTACTGTAAAGGCTAGCCTTATGAAACAGATACCAAGGTCGAAGTAGCCAGACAGGCAAAAACTTTTAGATGAAAGGTACCACCAACCAGGCTACCGGATCGAGCCGGAGGACAAGGATATCAGGCTGACCTGATATACTAATAGACTGGTTGTAAAGTCCTATTAGGCTATCTGAATTGGGAGTTTGATGAACTGGCAGAGATATACTAAAGTATTTCGGATATGCTGTGAAGTAGATGCTAGGGTTTGTGTGAACTCTACAAGGGCATAGCAGTTTAATGGTCAGCCCTAACTGCAAGTATTGGTTCTGCTATAGCAATACCTAGGTCAGCTATAAAAATGGGTACAGAAGGCTCTAGGGGGTTTACCTCGAGGATAAATTAGTCCTAAGGTTGAGGATGATGATCTGATACATCTGAGATGATCAGTAATGTTAATACAGATTACAGGTTCAGAAGGTTTAAAGTAGAACACCCAAGCAGGAGTATTAGGTATGGCAATTGGTAGGGAACCTTTGGGCAGATTTCTTAAATAGGTAATATAGAAAAGTTACATATGTAGCCAATTGTATACTCTTCTGTAGTGGTTCATTAAACCACAATACTGATAAGTGATTAATAAAAGTCAAAAGACCAAAGAGGTCACCTTAATACCAAAAAAAAGCAAAGTCCCAGTACAGCAGATCAAATTAGGTAGCACAAAAACATGTAACAACAAAGTAAACAAACAATAGATCATGTTTTCTTTTTGGTTAAGTAAATAGATTACAAAAAAACAACAATCATGCAATTAAACAACAACAGAAAAGCATGTGGCCCTTTTTAGAAAAATCTAGAAAAATACTACTAGTAGATATTAGTTGATTATCATCTAAGTGCATATTAGAAGATGAGCAAGTTACATAAGCAGAGGCTATTTAAGTTTATTTAAGGAGCAGGTAAAAAAATTTTAGTTACTTAGATAGTAATATATTAACTAAAGCACTAAAAGATACAACACCATATAGTCTAAACAATATAAAACAAATAGCATACAGTATAGCAATTGGTAATTCAAATAAAATTACAAAACAGAATCTGTTAATTTATAATCAAGTTCTTAAAGTGTTAAGACAAATTAAAACTAGAAGCCTTGAAAAAACATTAATTAAAAAATAAGCAATGAAAGCAAAAATGATACAATATAATCCAAGAATAATTAACTACATAGCTAATATGAGTTGTTCAACAAAATTAAAAGAAAAAAACAAAATAGAAGTAGAAAAAGAAGATGTAAATATTGGCATTGTCAGAGGTAAAACTGACACCTCATGGAACCTATGAAATGGACATCATTGTAGCATACTTACCTAATTAGAGTTGCCCATAATGATCCATCTGAAACATGTGTGCCCAGCTCTAAAAGATGCCATATGAAAGTACACAAGCCTCTATGCAGGACCCAACCACCCTTTTAATTAAAGTAAAGTCAACCTGGACTAACCTGTTGTACTAGGAATAGATGTTGACTTTATCTGCCTTACTTGAGTTAGGTGTAAGGCAATGTTAAGAGAGATGTAATTGAAGACAATATGATAGGCTCTGGCCCTGGGATTATGTAACTAAAACATTTCTTATCAAAGCTATAAGAAATGTTAAAGTGATGAAAGGCTGTGTAGAAGGGATTAAAGGTTATAACAAATAAGGTTGGGAAGTATTAGTAATAATAAGAAAAGTTATGGTCTTGTGTGGGCTCTTCTCTCATTCAATTCATTATAAAAAGAAGTGAAATTTTCTTTTTCCAAAAGATAGTCCAAAGTAGTTCAAAATAGTTCAGAATTTAAGCTTATAATAACACAATTGTACTGCCTCTACAAAACATTAATAAAAATTAATAAAAGCCTCTTTGATCTATAAAATACAATAATACTTTTTAAAATTGTAATACTTATTTTGTAATACTCCTTTTTGATTGCCTTGACCTTGTGCCAAATCGTAAAACTGCCTCTGTTATCTTTGAGAAACATTACATAGCATAACCATTTTTCTAGCAACAATTCATCACATTTGTCCCATCTCTGAACTTGTTCATTAAATCCGTGATAGCATCCAACCAACTAGTCCAAAAAAGTGAAAACAAAAAGAACCAACAGTTGAAACAACAGAAGAAAACAGTTAAAATATTATCAACAACATGAATAATCTTACTATTGCTATAGAAGCTAGCACATCAAACCAAAACTACTAATCAACAAATCTAAAAAAGTTAGTGATCAAGATTAGTAAAGATGAAAACAAAAGTGAAAACAGTAGAATGGTTTCAAAGGCAGAATACATAGAGTCAAGTCAAGATAATTTTAATCTTACCAATGAAAAAGAAAATGCTAAAGACCAAAAAACAAATTCAAAAGAACTAATCAACTTAGCACTACTAGAAGATAGTCTTTGGTTACCACAAAATAGATTATATAACAAAGAAAACTCATTTAAAGCAAAAATTCCAACATACAAAATTCCAGATAAAACAAAAGAGTACAGAATTAATTTTATGAAATGGATATTTAGAAATAACAAACACATCAAAGAGATAGAAGAAAGTTTTCAAAATGAAAATAATTGGATTATAGTAGACTTTAATTGCGAATATAGTAGAAGAACAACAAGTGAGAAAGTGTTAAGAAAAGAAGGTAATTGGTGTAAACTCATTCCTATAAAGGTAGAAACACAAAAAAGTAGTCTTAGTTATAATACAAATAGAGAAAGGTAAACAAAAAATTTTAAAAATAGCATAGTTAAACAAACAGTGCTAAATTCATAAAAGACTAAATACAGATAGCACTTTACAAAACAAACAAATCATACCAATTTGTACCAAAAGAAAAAAGAGAAAATAAAGAATCTAAATTATTTACTATATAGGATTTATCAGCAAACATTAGTTATAAAGAAATCGAATTATATGTAGAAGTATTAAAAATACAAAAGTTGTAAGAATTAAAAGATCCCAGTTTAA